AAGTTTACTAGAGTGCATTTGGATGATCCAGAAGAGGATTGGGAGAATGTCATATGGTCAGATGAAACCAAAATAGAACTTTTTGGTAAAAACTCAACTCGTCGTGTTTGGAGGACAAAGAATGCTGAGTTGCATCCAAAGAACACCATACCTACTGTGAAGCATGGGGGTGGAAACATCATGCTTTGGGGCTGTTTTTCTGCAAAGGGACCAGGACGACTGATCCGTGTAAAGGAAAGAATGAATGGGGCCATGTATCGTGAGATTTTGAGTGAAAACCTCCTTCCATCAGCAAGGGCATTGAAGATGAAACATGGCTGGGTCTTTCAGCATGACAATGATCCCAAACACACCGCCCGGGCAACGAAGGAGTGGCTTCGTAAGAAGCATTTCAAGGTCCTGGAGTGGCCTAGCCAGTCTCCAGATCTCAACCCCATAGAAAATCTTTGGAGGGAGTTGAAAGTCCGTGTTGCCCAGCGACAGCCCCAAAACATCACTGCTCTAGAGGAGATCTGCATGGAGGAATGGGCCAAAATACCAGCAACAGTGTGTGAAAACCTTGTGAAGACTTACAGAAAACGTTTGACCTGTGTCATTGCCAACAAAGGGTATATAACAAAGTATTGAGAAACTTTTGTTATTGACCAAATACTTATTTTCCACCATAATTTGCAAATAAATTCATTAAAAATCCTACAATGTGATTTTCTGGAAAAAAATTCTCATTTTGTCTGTCATAGTTGATGTGTACCTATGATGGCCTCTCTCATCTTTTTAAGTGGGAGAACTTGCACAATTGGTGGCTGACTAAATACTTTTTTTCCCCACTGTATTTTAGATGTGCTGTTAGCTTAATAAGATAGCATTAATGATTAAACATAAAAGGTTTGTACTGTACTGATATAAATTGTTTAACCTAACAAGCTGTGATTCATGTGAGGAGCTGTTAGGGAGTAGGGTGAGATAAGGCTTGTGACTCACACTGCCTGTTTGTTGAACTGTCCAAGGACATAGGTACAAAGAGTACAGTTAGAGTGGGAAAGTACAGGAAAACTGTGTCTATGGGTGCTGACTCTCTGGACAAGCTTCAGATAACAACTTATGCCTGGCAACAGTGAAGCGCCAAGGGACTGGGACCAGCCTGTGCGCCAACGATAGGCTGAGTAAGTCTAAACCACGCTCAGTCTCCACTCTGACAGACCAGCAGGGAGCGGGAACTATCTCTGTCAGAGTATTTCAAGAAGAACTTATAACAATGGACCAGTTCTCTGACTGCCCTGTGTGGTATTTCAGTGGACCCGTATATACGAACATCATATTTACCATTGAAGTGTTTTGCATTAATTAAAATACTAGTCTATTATAGAAGACGTGTATTAACCTCTTTTTGTTCCAATACCAGATTTGAATTGACTCAACTTAACACCACCATTTAATATTACAATGAGAAAAAACGGTTAATTGATCTAGCTAGTAGGTTATGTCAATAACTTAAGTCTACAGTAATTAGCTAGGTAAGAACAACTTTATCCACTAACACAAAGAATAAAATGGCTAGCTAACACCCGAAAGCTAACATTAGTTAGCTAGCTAGCTTGACCAGGTGTTTAGAGAAAAGGTATTTGGCTAGACTAACGTTAGCTGACTAAAATGTGCCCAGATTCGGAAACTACTAGTTAGCTAGCTTGTTATCTCGTGTCAGTTTAGTTAGATTGCGTTAGCTAACAAAGCTTCCGAATCTGGGCACATGTTAGCCAGCTAAAGTAGGTAGCTACTAGCTAGTGAACTATTTAGGTATATAGGATTAGCTAGCATCAACTAACACTGCTTGTTGCATTAACAAATGTGGGCTAGCTAGGTTAGCATACTAATTAGTTAACATAAGCTAACGTAATTCTAGCTAGCAAGCTAAGAGGTATGCTTACCTCAATGCGTTTTTTTAGGTTTGAAGGCGAGTTCTTGAACTCTAGTATTTCCTGAACTTTTGGTAAACATAACAGACATTTCATCCTGTAGGATGAATCCTTCCTTCCGAGAAAATAAAACATTTATTTTAGATACAGCCAAGGGTGTTCATCCTCATCAGGAGGTGGTGGTAGAGCGATGTCGGTCATGATTGTGCGATTTCTGAGATGCTTGGGCAAAGTGCTACTGAGTGGATGACTGTTTTGCAAGTGACAGGCTCTCGGTGGTTGGGGTTTGCACTTTAGGACCCTTGGATTTGCCCAACACGATGAGAATTGGATCAACTCTGCATGTCGTCGCCTGCTGCATTGCAAAACAAGTTCACCCATGAGTATGCCGGCCGATGTTGCTTGCATCTTTTTTCCAACATGATTAGTTTTTTCCTTCCAACTTCAGATTGATTTGATTTTGTAGCGAGTAACGAAGGTGTCATGGGAAATGTATCGGAGTAAAAGTATACTTTTTTTAATGTTTATGTAGTGAAGTAAAAGTAAACAGACAGAAATATAAATAGTAAAGTCCAGATATCCCAAAAAAACTACTTAAGTACAGTAACAAAGTATTTCTACTTTGTTACTTTATACAACTGGAGAGGTGGTGTTTTGCCAGTGCAGTGAACATGCTGTAGAGGCACTCATCATGGACCCTGGTGGTGGGTCCGTGAACAACGATGTCAGAGGTACATGGCCTTCTCTGGGATCCCCGCCAAGACCGACATTATGATATTTTGGAAGCAGCTGGGGGCGGAGCTTAATCCAACCGACATGTGCTTGTAGCAGAAGACCCCTAAGTGGGTGAAGAACACTGTGAGGTTGCGGCTCCTGTAGGTATCACTCATGGTGGTCCAGCTTGGTGAACACAGTGGCGCCATAGAACCGGGCAGTGAGCTATTCCGCAGTGGGCAGGGGGTATTTGTTTTGGATGATGGTCTTGTTTGCTGCTCTAAGGTCCACACAGGCACGCAGGCTCCCCGATTATTTTTTTTCCACCACCAGGTTTGAGATCCAGGGGGATGCATCGATAGGCACAATGATGTCTTCCTCTAGCTGGCGCCGGAGCTCGGCGTCGACGTCTGTGCGTAGGGCCAGTGTGACGCGGCTTAGAGATCATATGACGGGGGTCAATCAGGGACTGGTGTGCGAAGGAGGTGAGGCAGCCCAAGCCGTCGAACAGTGCAGGGTGCTCTCCTCGCTTTGAAGTGCCGCCTCACCCTCCCTCGGGGGTGGGGCATCTCTGTGTATAGTGTCTGAGCAAAGCGGTCCGTGTCAGTTTGAGCGAGTGGTTGGAGAGAGGAGGCTAGCTTTGCAGCACATTCTGCCACAGACTCCAATTGAAAAGCCAGCTGGAGTGCCTTTGCCTTTGACAAATCATCAGGTTCGAGTAACAGTCTTTCACATACATTCTTGTTGTTTTAATGGTCAATGAGTTGGTCACGTACCATTTCATTCTGCACTGCCCCAAATCTACACGAGCTAGCTAAGCCCAGTAGATTTGCCTCATACTGGTGTGCACACTCACCAGGCAGCTGGTGGCACCATCTGAACACAAACCGACGGAGGAGGGCACTTTAGGGTGTAGAGAAGTGTCTCCAAGAGAGCCACAGCATTGCTGTATTTTTCAGCATAGCCAAGTGTCCCGAACACATGCTGTCCCTCTGCGCCTAGGCAGTGTAGCAGCAGTGCTTTTAGCCTAGCATCACTCACGTCCTGTAAGCCCAGCTTGTTAATGTATGTTTCAGAAGTTTGAATCCATAGAGACCATGGAACTGGGGACTCACCTGGCAGAGCGAAAAAGGGAGAGGGTGATGGTAGGGAAAATTCAGCCATCCTTGTCGCCAAATGTTAAGTGTGAAGGATAGACGCGACCACAGGTGTCAGAGCCAACTACTCTTTTAATCATAATGTCAACTGAACAATGGAGAACATTGGGGGGGTCAACAAATGTAAAATTGCATGTAACTCTCCTACTGTACAGACATATGGTGTTTTGGGGTAGAAGGAAGAGTGCATCGAGCATAACACGTCAACCCTGTTACCCATTGATAGAGGTTTAAACAAGTTCAAATGTTTTATTAAGCTTGCATTCAATTTCCCCTCCCTTGCTTCCATTTTCCTGGTAGCAAGGGGTTATGGCTGATTTATGATATCATTAACCGTTACCGTCAATTTTCTTAATGTAACCTCATGTGATGGGAAAACATGTTTATGATTTTGAACGTGCTCCTTATGACAATGTTAAAATTAGCTTAAAGCCGAGATCCACATTTGTTATTGTTTTGAGGAAATGTCGTAATATCGCAAACGGATATCGCAACCCCCCGCGGGTTTTCGCTCCTCCCTTGTACTTGATTGATGAATTAAGGTCACTAATTAGTAAGGAACTCCCCACACCTGGTTGTCTAGGGCTTAATTGAAAGGAAAAACCCAAAAGCCTGCAGACACTAGGCCCTCCATGGAATGAGTTTGACACACCTGATGTACACCATAGAGTTCCACAGTGGACGTGTCATAATACCCATAAAACCTAGCGGTCAAACAGGGAAATGGTTTCAATCGTTTTTCCACCATTCATTTTTCCCCATAGGGGATTTTAGAAACAAATAAGGGCTGTGTTTCATGTAGGTTTACCCTGGCGTGACGTTTTGATAACCATGTAAATCTCTCGGACAAGGTGACTTTTAAATCAATATTCGGCTCTACGGCGATTCAAAAATGTCCATCTAAAGAAATTTTGCCAATTTATTCATTACTATATTTAGCTGACAGATAGTTAATCCAGTGATTCTTACCTTTGCCTCGATTCGGCAGTCTCGTCCAGATCATCATGGCATTTGTAGTTCTTTATGATAGCCACATACTCATTTTAATTTTGGGGGGGTAAATACAGGCGAATATATTGATAAAAGTTACCTTGTCCTAGAGAGATTTACACAGTTATCAAAACATCACACCAGGGTAAGCCTACAAGAAGCCCTTATTTTAAGTGTTCCTAAAAACCCCTATGGGAAAAGTGAATGGTGGAAAAACAATTGGAACCATTTCCCTGTTTGACCTCTAGGTTTTATGAGTAATATGATGACTCTGTAGTCCAGTCTGAAAACATTATGAAACAGTTAATCCCCACATCATTACAAGTGCTGGAGTGTGGTAGGCCTTTATTACGCAAGCCCAGACCGCTGTGCCAGGACCAGGGTTGAAACATTTTGTAGGGTTGTTTCACTTGGGAGCAGCAAACATTCCCCATCTCTTCCCTGTAGTCCTCCCAATATTCACTCTCCTGCTCGTCTACACAACCTGGTCATGTGACTTCAGCACATGTAGGGAGCAGGGGCCGCTGGGAGATGTAGTTATCTGTGGACAGAGTCTGTGGGGTCAGTGGTCAGACAAACATTGCCTCATTTTGTAGAAGTCTCAATTCAGTTCTTTTCTATTTGGCTCAGACGGGCATCATGTCTTTTCTGATTGGATAGATGTCCCAGGTCAGGCTGTTCCCAAAGGGGACATGTCCAGAGGGCAGGAGGACTCGCGTCAGCCAATGACTGGAGAGAGAAGAGAGGCAGAGGTTACCACAACTAAATACAATACTTAGTAATAGTGTTTTATTTCTGACCTAGTCACATAATGTGCGTGTTAAATATCTGTGCAGACCAATAGATTGTCACACTGCCTGGACAGGAGACGCATCTAACTAACCTTTTCTTCGCCACACCTAAGAAGACTTTCCAGTTGTTCAGTCTGCCATAGTTAAAGGGGTTCTTGTACACCTGGGAGAAATAGGAGAACAGTTTGAATAGCTTGTGTCCACCAACTGTAAGACTAGGTGTGTGTGCGTGCGTGCGTGCACCTTGCCATGTTTGCGCATCCGTTTGGTCTCCTTGTTGTTGAGGTGTCTCTCTATGCTGGTCTCTCCTCGGGATATCAGCACTGCGTGCCAGATAGTCAGCCCCCCAAGAGATACAGCCACCATGCTAAAATGACCAATCGCAGGTTTTTTTAAACACATTTTTATTGCCAAACAGCCAGTGACAACACACAGTACTGTGGGGCTGAGTTTCTACCATCATGGGGAAAATAATGTGCTTTTAACTTGGAGCTATTAAAATATGTATTTTCTAAGATCACTGTGTCAAAACTAACTAAAATACAGTAATCTCGTCGAGTACATCTCACCTGGTTAACACCCACATGTAGATGATACTCTTGTGGAACATCTCGTCTCTGAACGTGAAGGGAGGAGTCTGGTAGGGGCTCTGATTGACAGACAGAGGTCATACAAACAACTAAATAGGAAAACATATCCTAGTCAGGACCCAGGGTTGTGCTTAAGTCACCTGTTTTATGAGTATGCAGTAAGCATAATACAAAATCAAAGACCGTATGAACAATATCACCCTTTAAAATCTAAGTCATCTATTGAACCACCACCAGTAAGAACAAAAAAGTAACCAGGAGAGGCAGAATGAAGTGGGAGGGGTAGTGTGTGTGTGTGTGTGTGTGTGTGTACTACCTGCACAGGCGGTAAGATGCCTATGAGTTGCCCCATCCCTGTCACCGGGACACCAGAGTTATCAAAGTACATGTGTTTGAAGCGCTATCGGACAACGCAAAAACACACACCCTCAGACCACCAAGAGTTAGAGACAAACACCAAAGTTAGACAAACAGAAGAAAACACTTCAAAAGTTAAAATTGAACACAGTGACAGTTAAAGTAGACCATGAGCCTCTCACTGATCGAAGCCCTACAATGGAGGAGATAGCAGACCAGCAGACCCAAGTCTCCCTCAAAGAGTTTGTGTGTACCTGTACAGCACTACAAGCATCTAGGAAAAGGTTCCGGCCACTGATGCTGCAGTAGATACAGCCCAGGGTCATGGCGACACAGAAGGAGAAGAAGTAGCGCTGGTTAAAATGGCCGACACAGTTATTCAGCCATGCTGGGGGGAACCAGAGTTAAGGAAGAAACCAAAAACACTAACACCCATCCTCAAAATACTGTGTAATAATCTTCATTTTTGTGCTTAACAGACTTGCTTGTAAAAGATGCAACTATGGTAGACACAATCTAAATGGGGTCAACCATCCCTGATAACGTGACATTACCAGTACACTACCAATCAATCTCTACTCTCCAACTTCAAACTCCATTTAAAAGGATACGACAATGATGGTCCATTTTCAAAATGCACCTGTGAAGTAGAAGACGTCATGTTAATGTTAGACATCTACAACGCTACTATACTGTACCAGGGTTACGAGTTCTCATTGAGTAGATAAATATCTGACGGGAATACTAATTCCCCTAATGGTTATGGTTAGGATAGGGTCCTCTGATCCTAGATATGTGGTTAGGGGAAAGCAGAGTTTGTCTTACGTGTTGCAGATGGCACAGTGGTGAGTCCTGGCTGGTTTGGGGTTGACACACTTCTTACACACGGACACAAATGGATAGTCATTTTTCATCTGGAATAAACAACACACAGATCTCTATTACACCTGTGTGTGTGTGTGTGTGTGTGTGTGTGTGTGTGTGTGTGTGTGTGTGTGTGTGTGGGCGGGCAACCGCAGGGTGCATGTGACGCGTCAAGTGCAGTAGTGCCTAGGTAGAGTTAAGTTGCATGCTCGCTTACCACGTGCTTACATACTCTCGCTTACAGCTCGCTGCCACCAGCTAGCCCTTGTGGTGAATTGGGGAGCAGCTTCATGCACAAGTCTCACCTTGACGGTACAAAGCCTCTCCATGACCAAAACTCCAGTCGGGCCACTTAGTGGCAGCACACTTTAACTGGTTGTCTTGAAACTCCAGGCTAACCAGCATGAATCTCTGAGCAGCAGTGGGCCCCAGAGAGGAGTCTGTACAGGCCCACCTCTGTGTGGACACACCCTGGCAGCCATCAACCACTGCCCCACTGCCTTGTTGGTTAGTCTGGTACGACAAAGGCTAGGGGAGCACACCCTGAGAGAAAAGTAGCGTGCTGCCGGCACGCGGTAGGCAGACACCGACAGACTGTGGACCTGGCAGCCTCCTGCAGTGGAAGACGCTGGTCGTCCTGAGTTTCCCCCCCTTGCCACTGGAATAAGACTCCTGAAGCTCAGTTGGTAGAGCATGGCGCTTGCAACGCCAGGATTGTGGGTTCGATTCCCACGGGGGGCCAGTATGAAAAATGTATGCACTCACTAACTGTAAGTCGCTCTGGATAAGAGCGTCTGCTAAATTGACTAAAATGTAAATGTTAAATGAATACACCTTCCTACAGTGAAGTAGTGCGGTAGGGAATTGCGCACCCTCAGCGGCACTTTAAATAACCTCCTTTGCGCAGGTATCCACTTCTGACCTTGATGAAGCAATCAACTGGGAACTGGACTAAAGCCTGGCTGTGTTGGGGTGTCTGGTGACGGGGGCAGGAGTGAATGCACTGGGAGACCTTAAATCAGACCTCTGCACGCCAGCGGCAGAGGGCTATTATGATCGCCAGCAATTGGGACTTGAGTGGCAGCTGCTCTCGGCAGACCCGTGTGACTGAGCAGACATATTTAGGAGCCACACTGCTCACCCCAGCTGGGGAGAGGCCTTGAAAAGGTGGCCTAAAAAGTGCCCACTCACTCCTTCCTGGATAGGCTATCGCACCTATCGGCAGTTCCACTCAGCGGTCAAATATGCTAAAAAATATATAATTCCCCTGAAACTGGCGACATGGAACATCAGAACTCTTTTGGACTATGACGACAATAATGACAGACCGCTCTGATTGCTGCAGAACTAAGGTGCTACAACATTGATAGTGATACCAGGTTCCTGGATGAAGATGGCGCCGACGGAGATGGCAGCCTCACGACTCGCTCTTAGGAAACTTTGCAGTATTTTGTTTTTTGGTGTATTTTTTTTTTTTACATTAGCAGCTCAGGAAATGTTGCATGTCATTACATACAGCCGGGAAGAACTATTGGATATCAGAGCGGCGGTAACTCACCAGAACTACCAGCATTACGACTTCCCGAAGCAGATCCTTTGTTCGCTCTCCCCAGAGCAATTAGACTGATTCCAGAGGCCGACCCAAAACGTCGCCGGCGGAGGAGAGGCACTGGTTCGACTTAGGAGGCGCGCACACCACCCACCGCTTCCGAGTATATTACTCGCTAATGTTCAGTCTTTGGATAACAAAGTTGACGAGCTCAGGGCAAGGACTTCTTTCCAGAGAGACATCAGGGCCTGTTACATACTTTGTTTCACGGAAACATGGCTCTTTTGGGATACTCTGTCGAAATTGGTCCAGCCAGAGGGGTTCTCAGTTCATCGCGCAGACAGGAATAAATATCTCTCCAGGAAGCAGAAGGGCGGAGGTGTGTTTCTCATGATTAACGACTCATTGTGTAATTGTAGTAACATACAGGAACTCAAGTCCTTTTGTTCACCCAACCTAGAATACCTCAATCAAATGCTGACCGTATTATCTCCAAAGATAATTTTCCTCCGTTATAGCCACGGCCGTTTATATCCCCCCTCAAGCCGATACCACGACGGCTCTCAAAAGAACTTCACTGGACCTTATGCAAACTGGAAACCACATATCCTGAGGCTGCATTTATTGTAGCTGGGGATTTTAACAAAGAAAATTTGAGGACTAGGCATATCGACTGTAGTAAACACACTGCTAAAACACTGGACCACTGTTATTCAAAATTCCGGGATGCTTACAAGGCCCTCCCCCGCCCTCCTTCCGGCAAATCTGACCACGACTCCATTTTGCTTCTCCCTTCCTATAGGCAGAAACTCAAAACAGGAAGTACCCATGCTAAAGACTATCCAACGCTGGTCTGACCAATGCCAACGCGGACTGGGACATGTTCCGGGTAGCTTGCATAAATAATTTGGACGAATACATTGATATGGTAACTGAGTTTATCAGGAAGAGTATAGGAGATGTCATACCCATTGTGACTATTAAACCATGGATAGATAGCAGCGTTCGCGCGAACCACCGCATTTAACCATGGCAAGTTGACTAGGAATATGGCAGAATACAAACAGTGTAGTTATTCACTCCGCAAGGCAATCAAACAAGCAAAACGTCAGTATAGAGACAAAGTGAAGTCGCAATTCAACAGCTCAGACACGAGACGTATGTGGCAGGGTCTACAGACAATCACAGAATACAAAAGAAAAACCAGCCACGTCGCCGAGACCGACGTCTTGCTTCCGGACAAGCTAAACACCTTCTTCGCCTGCTTTGAGGATAACACAGTGCCACCGACGTGGCCCGACAACAAGGACTGTGGGCTCTCCTTCTCCGTGGCCAACGTGAGTAAAACATTTAAACGTGTTAACCCTCGCAAGGCTGCCGGCCCAGACGGCATCCCTAGCCACGTCCTCAGAGCATGCGCAGACCAGCTGGCTGGTGTGTTTACGAGCATATTCAATCTCTCTCTATCCCAGTCTGCTGTCCCCACATGCTTCAAGATGGCCACCATTGTTCCTGTACCCAAGAAAGCAAAGGTAACTGAACTAAATGACTATCGCCCCGTAGCACTCACCTCTGTCATCATGAAGTGCTTTGAGAGACTAGTCAAGTATCATATCACCTCTACCTTACCTGCCACCCTAGACCCACTTCAATTTGCTTACCGACCCAATAGATCCACAGACGATGCAATCGCCATCACTCTGCACACTGCCCTATCCCATCTTACATACCTATGTAAGAATGCTGTTCATTGACTATAGCTCAGCAATCAACACCATAATACCCTCCAAGCTCATCATTAAGCTCGAGGCCCTGGGTCTGAACCCCGCCCTGTGCAACTGGGTCCTGGACTTTCTGACAGGCCCCCCCAGGTGGTGAAGGTAGGAAACAACACCTCCACTTCACTGATCCTAAACACTGGGGCCCCACAAGGGTGAATGCTTAGCCCAGTCCTGTACTCCCTGTTCACCCATGACTGCGTGGCCAAGCATGCCTCCAACTCAATCATCAAGTTTGCAGACGACACAACAGTAGTAGGCTTGATTACCAACAATGACGAGGTAGCCTACAGGGAGGTGGTGAGGGCTCTGGGAGTGTGGTGCCAGGAAAATAACCTCACTCAACATAACAAAGGAGATGATTGTGGACTTCAGAAAACAGCAGAGGATGCACCCCCCTATCCACATCGACGGGACCGCAGTGGAGAAGGTGGAAAGCTTCAAGTTCCTTGGCGTACACTACACTGACAAACTGAAATGGACCACCCACACAGACAGTGTGGTGAAGGCGGCGCAACAGAGCCTCTTCAACCTCAGGAGGCTAAAGAAATTTGGCTTGGCAGCTATAACCCTCAAACTTTTACAAATGCACAATTGAGTGCATCACCGCCTGGTACGGCAACTGCACCGCCCGCAACCGCAAGGTTTGCCCCCGGTAACGCATTACCGGGGGCAAACTATCCGCTCTCCAGGACACCTACAGCACCCGATGTCACAGGAAGGCCAAAAAGATCATCAAGGACATGAACCACCTGAGCCACTGCCTGTTCACCCCACTATACCTGGGCAGCATCCTCGGAGGACTGCAGCGTCAACCCCAACATTCAAAACAGGATCAAGCAATCCTTAACTGCCTTCGGGAAACTCAGACGCAGGGTCTTCCAAAACAGCGATCTCCACATGCACACCAAAGTCGCTGTCTATCAAGCCGTCTGCATTACTACAGTTCTTTACAGCTGTGAAGCCTGGGTCACCTACAGTCGCCACTACAAGCAGCTCAAGCGTTTCCACATAGGATGCCTGCAGCGCATCCTGGGAATCACTTGGCGCGACCGTGTGCCCCATACGGAAATACTTTCTAAGACCAACTGCAAGAGTATGGACGCCATGGTCACCCAACACCAACTGCGCTGGCTCGAGCATGTCATTAGAATGTCTCAGGAGCGCTTGCCACAGAAGATCTTGTATGGCCAGCTACACCTTGGCCGGCGGTCTGCAGGGGGGCAGATGAAGCGCTACAAGGACCAGCTGAAAACGTCACTGAAGAAGTGCAACATCAAACCCACAGACCTGGAGGACGCTGCTGCCGACCGTTTTACCTGGCGGCAGCTCTGCCAGAGCGGTGTACAGAGGTAGGAGGAGAGGAGCACAAAGAGACCGCAAAAACAGCTCAGGAGACATAACCATGCCTGCCCCCGCCAACACAGACTGCACATGCCCCACCTGCAATAAAGTTTGTGGATCTCGGATTGGACTCTACAGCCACCAAATATAATAATTCACTGTTAACTCAGAAGTGGAAGTCATCATCGGATACGATGGACTACCGCAAGGCAAGTGTGTGTGTGTGTGTGTACCGTAGGGGGGTATCCTGGGGTAGTATTGGTAGCTTTATAATAGTGGAAGACGATCATGACAAGGTTCCAGTGTCCGTACGTGATGTGCCAGGCTATCCAGGATGGAGAGTACGTGTCGAAGATCATGGGCAGCAGAACCACATAGACTACCACCAGGATAGTACTGGTCAGTATCACTACCAGACATACAAACACCTGGAGAGAGAGGGTAAATGAGTGAGAAACGGTTTCATGAACATCTGTGCAACTCTCACTGACACACACACACACTTACCGCCCCCAACCTGCGGGTGAGTAGGTCCACCATCCAGATGATGGGTTCCAGCAGTGAGTCCATGACGACGTCAGAGTTGGTGAGGGAGTTGTAATAGAGGGAGTCGACCATCAGTCTGAGGTAGGCCCATATCTGCCTCACACACAGCGGTAGTCTGCAGTTGTTGCCATTGCTGTTGCTGCAGTGCCACTGTCTGGTGCACACACACAACCACAGCCAGCGCATCAGTGGGAAGGTGGGGCACGGCCTCATTCTGCTCCTGAAACACACAGGGATGAATGTACACCAGGAATTATACTACCATTGAAATCCTTGGGCGGGCCGCCAAAGGGTTTTTCGGGATGCTTGAGTCCAAACAGTGTAAAAAATAAACATCTGAGTAAACTTAAAAAGACATCCTCCAGCGATTGTGGAACTTTTACTGTTGAAAAGTGATATCCCATGTATAAATACAGTAAAAAACACTTGTTGGATTCGAACTTCTAACTTGAAATATATTACACTATTAGAACTGAGTGGATGGAAATCTACTGAGTGAGAAAGGGGAGTGCAGAAAGTTTACATTCTGTTAGAACATGTTGTTATGGTTAAATCTCATGTATACTATGGAGAAAAGAAGGGCAACGGTCTGGTTTCAGTCACTGATAAGGTAGGACAGCCGTGAGTTAGGAAGGAGTGAGGAAATCGGGTCGAGGTCAGACGAAGTGAGAAAGAACAGTCACCACTAAAGTCCTGCCTAGTAAGAGATTTATTGGCTGTCCAGATGTGAGGGTATAAATATATGTGCTGGTGTAAACACGTCTTTGTCCTATGCAGCTGTTTGACCCAGTGGGTGAATAAACTTGGTTTGAGCTTTGACTAGTTGTCCTTTAGGTTTTTCACTCTGTCAGAACCTAACACACTAAAGGCTAAAAAATTTTTAAAAAATACATTGAGCAACAGTGTTTTTTTTAGACACCTGCAAACTTCAAGGAGTAGGGCATTCAAGGACTAGGTCTGATGGGAATCCATGATGTCGGCCTCCCCACTTGATTGAGGAACAATAGAGAACAAAAGATTCAACCACAAAGACAAGGGAGGTTTTCCAATGCCTGGCAAAGGGCAGCTATTGGTAGTTGGGTAAAATTTAAAAAAGCAGACACTGAATATCCCTTTGAGCATGGTGAAGATATTAATTACACTTTGGATGGTTTATCAGTACATCCAGTCACTACAAAGATACAGGAAGGAAAATACTCAGGGATTTCACCATTACGCCAATGATGACTTTAAAACAGTTACAGAGTTTAATGGCTGTGATAAGAGAAAACTGAGGATGGATCAACATACTCCACAACACTAACCTAAATTACAGTGAAAAGAAGGAAGCCTGTAAAGAATACAAATATTCTAAAACATGCATCCTGTTCGCAATAAGGCTAAAGTAAAACTGCAAAAAAAAAGGCAAATAAATTAACTTGTGTCCTGAATACAAAGTGTTATGTTTGGGGCAAATCCAACAACACAACTGAGTACCTACCACTTCATATTTTCAAGCATGGTGGTGGCTGCATCATGTTATGGGTATGCTTTATCAGCAAGTAATAGGGATTTTTTTTTAAATAAAAATAAATGGACTAGAGCTAGGCGCATGCAAAATCCTAGAGGAAAACCTGGTTCAGTCTGCTTTCATTATACCCTGATGAAAACAGCTTGTCTGTCGAAACGTTGGTTATTAGGTTATAAAAAAAAATCATCTGAGCTCCTAGAGTGTGCGGCTCTCCTTTTCTTTTTCAGTCTGCTTTCCATCAGACACTGGGAGCCAAATTCACCTTTCAGTAGGACAAAACCTAAATTAAACAAGGCCAAATATACACTGGATTTGCCTACCAAGACGACATTGAATGTTGCCCAGTGGCCTAGTTACAGTTTTTACTTAAATCTACTTAAACAATGATGGCAAGACATGAAAATGGCTGTCTAGCAATGATCAACAACCATTGTGACAGCGCTTGAAGAATAAATAAAAAAAGAATAATGTGCAAATATTGTACAATCCAGGTGTGCAAAACTAAAGAGAATTACCCAAAAAGACTCAGCTGCAATCGATACCAAAAGTTGATTCTAACATGTATTGCATATTTTTATATAATCTTTGAAAAGTAACAGTCACCAAAATAAAAGGTACAGTGGGGAGAACAAGTATTTGATACACTGCCGATTTTGCAGGTTTTCCTACTTACAAAGCATGTAGAGGTCTGTAATTTTTGTCATAGGTACACTTCAACTGTAAGAGACGGAATCTAAAACAAAAATCCAGAAAATCACATGAGGTTAACACACCCACAAAGTAATAAACTCCACCTATTTCTACAATTGATCTTCTTAAAATCAGATGTGAAACCTAACCTTAAACTACACTGGTAACCTTATGCCTAACCCTATAATTAAGACCAAAAAGCAAAATGGTTTTTTTTTCATGTTTTAAGATAACACAGCCACAAAGTCAAAGTTGTCTATCTAGTGGAAACCCGCTGACGTCCGACCGCGCCCCCTGCCACATTCACCACCTAAACCCCTTTTTGATCCATAAAACAACCTACACACACACACACCTGAACAATATTATACATATATGTAAGTCGCTCTGGATAAGAGCGTCTGCTAAATGACTAAAATGTAAAATGTAAATGTAAATACACAACAGAGCTACAAAGACCACATGGAGTAAGGACTGGTTCCGTTTTAAGACCTACTTTCTGATTTTAATTTAGGAAATATGTTCCCAAGTATTCCCACACACAAATAGAGGCATATGTGATCATATCCCAATGTTTTTGTCATACTATCTGTTTGGGATTCTTGCGGTCAATTTGCTGTGTACAAATTATTAATAACTATATTCCGGGACCCCGACCATCCGCGCAAGAAAAAAATTAAAATTAGCCCACAGCTGAATGTAATTGGGGACTCCTGTAGATTTGAGATTGGGCCACAAACTTCTAGTTCTACTGCTTTAAAACAAAAAAACTAAAGATTATGGTAACTCTTCTCTTGCTCTTCTGCATTCCAATCAAGGGATATGAGCAGGGCGGAACACAATAGTAAGAGCGACACAGCCCATAATGACAGCTTTGAAAGAATGGAGTTAGCTACATTGTTGGAATCCTATCCAGACATTCTGAACCTTCAGGTCTAGTACATTGTTGAGCATTTTCACCGCAATCTTCCATGAACATGCCTCTGTCACTCACTGCCCATTCCTCCAATTTGTTATAAACCATCTGCCAGTGTAGCAGCAATTATCAAGTTCTGTCATGATTCAATGTTCTATGTTTATGACACGGACAAAAAGCTGTTTATAAAAAAGATAGCTAAACAATATGATTGAATGAGTCATATACATTTAAACTCTTCCTCAACCCTTATCTGTCAAAGATCATCAGTTGAAAGGACCACTGGCACTTGACCAGTGTCGTGAGCTACCAGCAGCAAGCTTGAAGAGCAGCGCTGTATACTGCTAGTTACCATTGCACAAAGTAATACATTCCATTTATATACTCACTTTCTTAGGATCGCATGTCACCCGTGAGAAATGTGTTACCTCTGGCCATGATACCAAGGTGAAGAAGGTTGAATTAACACGGAAGCTAATAATTGAACGGGAGACAATCTTCTCGAGTGAGAGATTCCTTAGCACAAACGCTTCTCCTCTACCTTGTCATAGTCATTTTACTTCCGGGAGAAGCTATACGGACCAATGGTGTATATATAAATAATTGATTTGGACACGCCTGGTGCCCAAATTGTTTACGTATGTCGCGCAACTAGAGTCGAGTATAGATGAACGGATTCGGTTCAGTCAGTCCTCCTGATGAGCCTTCCCAGCCAGCCGTCCTGTGGGTTTTTACTCCAACCCTAATTTTGCCCACCTGATTCTAATAATTAGCTTGTTGATGAGCTGAATCAGGTTAGTTATAACTGGGGATGGAGCAAAAACCTACAGGAGGGCAGCTCTCCAGGAACAGGGTTGGAGAGCCCTGGCATAGGGTCTAGACCCGGGTTCCCCATAAGGTGGCAAGCGGGCCATATTCAGCCTGCAAGTGATTTTATTTGCCCCCCCCCCCCCCCAAATTAATATTTGTTAAATATAATTTGTGTTGTTGGACAGAATACTAAAATCACCAGGAAAACCGTTCAAAGTTATTTTAATTTAGGAAATCTGTTCCCAAGTATTCACACATATAAATAGAGAGGCATATGTGATTATCCCAATGTAATCAAGGTTTACTATATCTGTTTGGGATTCTTGCGGTCAATTTGCAGTGTACAAATTATTTATCCTGATGAGCCCTTCCCAGCTAGCTAGTTTATACTTGTGGCTAGACACTTCAGATAGAATTTGAAACTTGTCTGCCGAAGTTGGGACTTGTGTAGCTAGACTGTAGCTAGACTTTAATGCTGTAGTTCTACATTTTGGGTGACAATCACTACAATAAATGAGTAGCCTAAGCATAGGACACGATTCAGTAACAGTAGTCACTGCAGCCTAAAGTAAATTGAAATACATTTGCCAAAATTATAATTACTCCTGTTTATATATAAAATAATTCAAAATACTTCACCAAAAAGGATGACTTAGCACAGAGGATCATTAGCTTCTTTTAAAGCTGTGGATTGTTTCGAATCACAAGCGTGTAGGCCTAGTTGGGAAGCCTGCAATTTGGGCAGCGCGTGTGGCAATAGGCCTAGCTGATTATTGAGATGCAATGTTGTAAGTGAAACACAATGCTTCTAAAATATGTGTAAAGATAATGTTTCTTGAGTATAATTTGAAATGTTGAGACAAGAAGACGGGGAGGGGTTGTGTGGCAAAGATATTGGCGCCTCTCTCCAGAATGTGCTCAGCTCTCCAGAATGCGCTAAGCTGTCTCCCCCCAATTATTGTGCATTCATTGTTTTATTGTGTTAATTGTTTGTCCTTTGATTAATTCCCCATTACATGTCACCAGTAGTACATTTACCGTTAATCGCGTCATTTCGTTACATTAATTTATGTTAATGCATGGATTAATTAGGCCTACAGTCATTTACCATTCTCATTCTCGGAGTGGAAACTTTTGCAGAGTTTACAACCTGCTACACTTGTGAGAAACAAGTTTTGGTTTATTTCATACCATCATTTACGAATTTAGTCAATTGTTTCATTGTATTTTATTGGAGCGCACCATGTGAGCAATGAGAATGTGTCTGGTTTCTATGTCATCTTAATGTTGACGGAACGCTTGCACCTGAGCACCCATAGAAGTAGGCTAACTGGCCTGCTGCATGCAAATGTAGGAAAGTGCCCATTTGTGATGTTTGATTTCTGATTGTCTTAACTCGGCACCACTAATAAGCTGAGCTTGTCAGTAATTTTTTCTTCACCTCACACAGTAAGTCAACGAAGTCCATTTTTTTGTTATATAAAAAAAAAGAATAGTTCCTCACAGTATTTGAAAACTCTTTCCAAAACTCTCTCCCTCGATAATCACCAGGCCTCGGTGTGAAAGAGCAAAATGTCATGCTCTGAGGATCCAATATATCCAGTGGTAACGTCATAAAATACCTGAACACATTTCCCTTTGGGCAAAAACAGCTGTCTGTCCAGAGCTCACTTGTGTAGGAAACTCTGAGGGCCCGGAATAGGCTAGTTGATACAATGTTGCAAGTTTGCTGGCAACAGCTTCGGGCTGGACCTTCAAATAAACAGTCATTGGGCCGGAGCCAGTTGATTGATTTGATAGGGTACAATGTTGCACTTCACTAGCATAGCTCAGGTCAAGACAGATAGAAAAGGACGCAGACAGGTGGAGTAGAGAGATGAATGCGATTGAAAGAACCTGCATTTTCATCAGAATATTTTATTTTTATTTAGTTCACAGTGGAAGTTATATGCCTACTAAGCCATGGGTCTCGCAGACCACCTATGAGTAGCTCGCCAAACAATTCTGAAAGCACATGCAATTTTCACGTGTTCCACCGCAAACTGTCATAAACAAATCTCACAAGTATCAGACACCGCAAGCTCCCAGCTACTATCTAATCAACATTGACATTATCCCACCCTGGTTAGACACTATTGGCTTAAAATGCCAAACCTAATACAAGATCTGCCAATTTCCAGCAATATTGCCCCTGTCTGTCTGTGTGGGGCGCACGTTTGTTTATCACTCCGTGTCTAGCCAGTTGATATGATAACCCTCTTGTGGGTTGTTAAAAATACTTTCCCCAAAACCTTCTCAATTAAATGTTAATTGCAAAGTAGGCTTACCTGGCAGAAGTATATCATGAATAAGTATATCATTTGTATCTACACTGAACAAAAATATAAAACGCAACATGCAACAATTTCAAAGATTTTACTGAGTTAAAGTTCATATAAGGAAATCAGTCAAATGAAATGAATTCATTAGGCCCAATCTATGGATTTCACAAGACTGGGAATATAGATATGCATCTGTTGGTCACAGATACCTTAAAAATGGGCCTCGGTATCTCGTCATAGTATTTCTGTGCATTCAAATTACCATCGATCAAATGCAATTGTGTTCGTTGTCCGTAGCTTATGCCTACCCATACCATAACCCCACCGCCACCATTGGGCACTCTGCAGTCAGGTCAAGACCCTGGTGGGTACGACGAGCACGCAGATGAGCTTCCCTGAGATGCTTTCTGACAGTTTGTCCAGAAATTATTCGGTGGTGCAATTAAAGGGCCAGATGCGCAATTAAAATGGTAATTACACTCAAAAATCTAAATGTGTTAGTTTTCTTCCAGACCTAAAAAAATGTGTCTTAATCATTGACATGGACTCAGATCATCCAGTGTTGTTGTTTCTCTATGAACAAAAAATAAAACAGAACATAATTTGGGAAAATATAAAACAGAATTATGGGGAAAAAACATACAGATTTTATTAACCATTATTTTACCAGGTATATTGACAGAAAACATAGTGCACTACTTTCTTGTACATTAAGGACCCGGGAAGAGTTGCAGGGGAGAGGAGAAGAATGTGCCTATTTGAAAGCTAGAAAAAAAATTGTAGCTCACAACATGTTTCATTTTTAAAAAGTAGCTCTCATGCTAGAAAAGGTTGGAGACCCCTGGCATATACTCTTAGTTCCATGCGCTCATTTCTTTAGCCACCAATGGCTCACGGTGAATCAATGTGTCCATATGGCAGAGGCTGGTGCTCTGGCATTAATGGAATTTTAACTTTTAGATTTTATCATTCTAAGTCCGATTTGTATTATTAACCACGTGACAATGATTTTGAGAAGCTAAAACGTTATTATTAAAATGAAACTCTTCCATGAAAATGTGCATATGAAAATCATAACTGGCATGCAGATCGGTAGAAATGGAAGGATAAATTGTAAGCTTCCCCAAACTTGAAACTCATGTGCAGCCTTGGAATAGATTATTGTGAACAGAGCACACATTTCTTTATACCATAGGCGAAATTGCCACGGGGGGATAGGTGGGACATGTCCCCGCAATATTCAGAACATGTAGAATATTTTTTCGTTTTTTTTTGGTCAGGGGCCCTCTAGATAGCATATGAACACGTCATAAGCAATGGCAAAGTGTGTAGAATTGCAGGAAATTTGCTTCAACAGTCGACTTTGGGCATGAAAAAAGGTCCAACTCCTCCTCTTTCTCAATTTTCAAACAGAAATGGGGTGTGCCTTTGGTGGTTTATTGATGTGTCATTCTAGTTATGCGTGCCGCGACTGACGTAGCTAGTTCGTTAGCTAAGCTAGCCACTTGTAGCTAGCCGGTAACTCCTCCAGTATGTGTTGACATAATTTCAATGTTTTGTTTTTGGACGGAAGCTGTAGAGATCGGTAAGAAATGGCACTTCTGTAGCCAAATATCTTATTAATTCATTTTGTTTTTAAGCATTAAATTACCTGGTATGATGGTGCATTGATTAGTTATTAAGTTTCTTTCTTTTTGAGCTTTTGCCCAAAGTCGACCTTTAAAGTAACGGTCCAGTGTTTCCAGATTTCTATGAAATATGACCTATAATTAATGACACTATGAATTAAATTGTTTTCCTTCCCAATTTTTTTAATTAAGCATGTTAAAAAGCAGCTTTTCTGTATTGGAATGCTGTGGGCATACCCCGACAACAGAATTGTGTGAGCGTATACCGGTCATTAACCTTTTGACCTGTACGATCACTTATTTGTGATCATTGTTGAGTGGTCCCTGCAGCATACAGAACAGTAGCAACAGAACTTCTGCATGTAATGCAACATAACATTTAAATAGCGTTGTTGTCTGTGGAAGGTTTTCTAGTCAGTAGGGGGTAGAAATGGGGGAAGGTATCGTGGGGGGAAATCATAGGAAATATTACTATTGTCACGATCGTCTGGGTAAGGAGTAGTAGACCAAGGCGCAGCGTGTGAAATAAACATGACTTTATTTAATTAAAGCACGAAAACCAAAACAAAACACGATTCATGAAGTCCACGGTTAAACATACCGTCACGGAACAAAAACCCACAAACAAGGTGAAGACACACAGTTTAAATATGGCTCCCAATCAGAGATAACGAGCCGACAGCTGACACTCGTTACCTCCGATTGGGAGTCACTCAATACAAACATAGACATCGACAACCTAGACACCCAACATAGAACATGAACACATAGAATGCACACACCCTGGCTCAACAT